CTAATTTATTCAGTGTAAAAAAATAAATAGCAGTGCTTAATCAATAGCAAGGTACATAACAGTATATATAAATAAAATGACTTCTAGCAATTAGCATTACCAACTACATAATAATCGATCGATATTCCTTGTAAATAAATTGGAAGCATTAAAGTAAAAAATTTATATAATCTCTCAGAACTTATAAAGACATTCCTTCTTGGAAATTGACTAGTATTTGACATGAACTTTGTTTTAATTCAATAACCATAAGTATTTCTGTACGCCTATGTAAATATATGAATGTTGAACAGTGATTCATTTTCTTATTTATTGGCAATATTACTTACTTTAATCTTATGGAGTTGTTGATTTTAAAAAGGTTGGATCAACTGCGGCAACTTTTGCAGTCAAAAATGCATGCATACAGAACAGTAGATTCTGTAGCTGAGAACATTCCAATTCCTACAAATAAAAAAAAAAGTAAAATATTAAATACAATAAATAAATTGTATTTATTTTATTCACTTTTATCAATGTAAAATACCTTTGTCTCGATTGCGATGCTGTCAGGTTCTTGAAAGTGTAACTTCAGTCTGCTCTTTCCATCGTCGCTGGATCCTCTCAATTGAGAGAATTTATAACGCCACACGATCTCTCCGATATCTTCGTAAGAAAGTGTGAACCCTTGAGTCCATTCTAATGTTAATCCAGCACTTCTTCCGTTAAAAGTGACAGGAAATGTTTTACTCTGCGATAAAAGTGTATGAATCATGAAGGTTTTAAAAGTAACATTTAATACATAAAGTAGAAGTATAGTACCAACTTTTAAATGTGTAACAGCTGAACAAACCGCAGTATGCCATGCTGCCTCGACTCTTAAGAGTTCTTGTCTTGTTTCAACGCTGAGATATCGTGGAGGTTTACCTGGACTTTGTGCTAGAAAACAATGTTGTCTCTCGTCTACATTTTCGGATTCTCGCATCACGCGGAACATAGTTTGATACACTTTGAAAGTCAATGCGCATCGCGACCAATCTCCTATATTGCACTGTAAAGTAAATATTCGTCAATATTCAAATATCTCGAGCGTATAACATACAAATATATCGATTAATACTTACAGGAGGTGTTTCGAATAACAACAAATCAGGCCCTTTTAGAGCTAAAAATCTTGGCCTGTAACTTTGCCATGGTTGATTACTATTGCTTACTGCTTCGTTTACCCAACCCATGTACTCGATACGTTCACCCACTCCGAAATTGCGGTTGTACAATTTCATCTGAAAATAAGTATGAATCACTTTATTTGCTACATTACAAGTATTAAATTAATACAAAAATAAATAAGTTTCTTTACCTGCAGATGTGTTAAGCCCGTGATATTATCAGTAATATACTTTAACCATTGACTCAGAATGGCACTATCATCGCAATGTATAACGCCAGTACGCGCACCATTCAACCCTCTTACTTCGAACGCATTTCTTCTTAATTTGTCCGTTCCAAAGATGTATCTTGTTACGTATGCCATCATTAGCGGAACTGTAACGATACAATATCATTCATTATTGTACGTTTGAAATAATTACATAAAAGTAAAAGATTAAAAAAAAAATGTTGTAACCTGTTATAACATCCACCCATTTTTTGCACTGTATCGAAACGACGGATGCGTTCGAGCTTTGTCGACTGTGACCGCATCTAGGACTACCCCCTTGTCTATTAGACGATAACCATTCGTCGTCTGAACCGCCATTCGCAACATTATCCAATTTTTCCTCTTTTTCTAAAAGCAATACCAAATAAGTATTATAAAGAATTACAATATGTAACCGTATATGTGCGTAAAGTCGGGTTTACCATTTTTTTGTAGAAATGGTTTAGCTGCTCGATAATGTTTGACTGTTAAAACAACTATGTCACCAGCATTCCTTAAGATGTTTACAGCATCATCATGGTTACATGCAGTTATGTATTCTCCGTTCACTACAAAAACATTGTATATTTTTTAAAAACAAACAAACCATATGCTTAAGAAAAACCATAAATTAACTAATTATATTACCAAAAACGCATTTAATTTGTAGGCAAAACATAATTTAATATAGTTTCATTTGTAGCTTAAATGCAGGATTCAGTTTGCAGTACAGATGGATAGATAACATAGAAACTTTGTTTCAAAAGAAGAAACCAATATTGACAGGTGTGACATAAATAGAATAAGCATTCAATGCAGGTTGCATAGAAAGTAGTAGTTCAACTATTACAGAATTGAGAACAGAGTTTTAGGGGAGGTATTCTAGTCCGGCTACAGAAGAACTAGGACATTTTTGGAATATAAGAATATGGAACGTATAAAAACATCTTACAGTTAACATAATATTAGAATTTTCAAATTAAATAAAATATTAATTTTTTCATAAAAATTACCAATAGTAAAATTACCAATTTCTAACAGCTTGTTTTCTAAGCATAGTATATTTACCTTTAATAATTGCATCCCCTACAAATAGTTGGCCACATTGATCAGCAGCTTGGCCTTTATATATTCTAGATATAAGCACAGGAAGTTTATGTTCTGCTCCGCCTTTTATACTCAATCCTAATCCTCCAACCTTTTGTCTAGTAATTTGCACCATTCGCTCTTTGGCATCCAATGGTGGCTTATTGTGATTCGCTGCCTGCTGAAAATCAGTGTTATTTTGTTTATTATCTGTATAATGTATAACTGTATGTCCTTAATAATGTAAAATAATTAATGGATTCATTGAACTAGAATGAAAATGATGGTTACAGTAAACTTTACCTCTAAGTCTTCTCTTTGAAGTTTCAATACTTCCATAGATAATTGCAAACGCATTGGTATGGGTTTACTTTTTCCATCACTAACGCTTACCATCCCAGTCCTCACCTTTTTGAAAATGACAATGATAAAAATTAAAATATCTTTTACTTCAATTTAGTCTCTATCTTCAGTATTATGTAATCACTCTCCTTTAAACTACAAATTAAAAATTGTATACAAACACTTAATAAAAGAGAAGAAACATTCCATAAAAATAATTGAAAATCTAAATGAATACACAGTAAATTACGAATTCCATTAATGTAAAAAAAGTCTCTGTATATTGATTAATTAACTGCATTGCTTCAATGTCTGTGCATATATACACTCAAATACAAAGATACACTGTTAGAATCCAGTCAACATTGAACTAAATTTTATCTTATTCTCAATCGAATAAGATCGATTTTCTAATGTATTCTGACGCTTAAGCGACCGCATAGTAAAATTAAATCGTCTCCAGAATAATACAAGAACACCCGATAATATTAGATTTTTATTACTCGCGGTCCAAGTATTCCTTGCACGAAAAGTACAATTTTCTGTGACATAACATTTTCCCATTCATTTTATTCTGTTGACGAGGTAGCTTTCAAAATTGTAAACGCGCGATCGTAGTGTAAAATCATGTGTTTATTCTTCCGTCGAGAACATTCAAATTTCAGGATATTCACAGCGAATGACAAAAAAAGTAACGAGAGAAAGAAAACGTATAAAAATTCTGAGTTTCTCACCTTCAGCTTCTGATCAATCTTCTCCTCGATCGGAGTGCTCATTTTCGTTGCGTTGATTCTCATTATTCAACCTGATTAAATAGCCCGCACGAGTAGCTTCCCGTACTGCCAAAGATTTAGATTTGACAGAATTTCGAGGATCTTTAATATCACGAGCATGTTAGTTTCTAGCAGACCGTACGACCCGACTGTGGCCACTCGAGCGAGGGAAGTGCAAACTGCAAGATCATATTCACGAGTCTTTTTCAAATAAAAAGAAAAAAAGGATGCACCGACTCACGCCGGAATATAAGTGGCGACACGCAATATTTCACAACGAAACACGTTCATTCAATGGTACGATTCTTGGGACCGTGCATCGTAACGTTTCGAGACGTTCCGACCACGGACCTGAATGGACCTGAAGAACCGAGCTGAACTGAGCAGTACATGTAACCAGTAACTGCCAGTAACCAGTAACCAGTAACCAGTACTATGTACATACATAGTATTGGCGAGGGGAGCGATGCTTAAATCACGGGGGGGGGGGGCAGGAAAGCTTTCTGGGGTGACCTTTGACCATCATACTTTGGTCAACTGGAGGTGCCATCTGCGCCAAATGCGGCAAAATTGAAGCCACGTGTCTTCAAATACAATTCTAAAAAGAATGTATTGTGTTAATAACAGTTCAATATAATGGTTGAACAATTCTATGGGGTTGATTTAGGGGATACATCATTACTAATTGGGATTCATTATGACAATAGAACTCCATGGAACAGGAATTCCATGACTTTATGAAAGTCTGTATACGTCTGTACACTTTAACATGGTTGTTGATTCTTTTAGTATTACATTTATCGCTAATGTTTACTATTGAAAAAATGATATACAGATTAGCTGAGTGAACCTATTCTATACGCAAATAATCATAGACAGCGTCTTTAGTTGGTCCGAGTTGACCTAGGTAAGATGGCCAGGGGACTGTCGAAAGTTAACTTCCCTTCCATTGCATCTGTCTTACAATCAGTCTCACAAGCCCTGAGACGGCTGTGACGGCTGAGACCCTGAAACACGGTATGCATCCCCCTTCAGATCTGTGGTTTCGACGAAGCGAAAAGTCTCTAAACCGGAACGCAGAAAAATTGTGGTGGGCTAAAAGTAGCTAAAAGCCCGCGGCCGAGGTGCATCGATTTACACGACACAGGGCTCACCGATGATTATTTCGCAGAGTACGTCTCTAGTGGCGAAATTTCTCTGTTTTCAAATCTCAATTCTAATAGGACATGCGTCTTTTATTGTCTCGAATATTGTTACGATATCTTTGATTGAAATGAAAACAAAAATATCACGAGAAGTAGTATTTTTATTTCACTATATATTTCTTGTTTTCCGAGAATTCGTGAACTCTTGTCAACATACAAAAAATGTAATAACTTAAATTTGTTAATGATACATGATTTTATAAAGTTATATCCTGTGTTATAATATTTTGTACATTGTTAGTGGTATATAATTTTGGCACAATAAAAAATATTCCATATTCATCTGTCCCAAAAGTTATCAAGTACAATATTTCTAATCACAAAGAAATCATTTTATTGTTCTATATTGACTATTATTCGAATGATCTTATATATATGATAAATGCATAGTGAAACTAAATGGAACTATTTCATTCGCTTTTTAAATAAATAAGAAATCATTTTCTTTACAGTCTAATGTAATGTACTTACAAATTTCAATTATCATCATTTACATTTATTTATTCTTATTAAAAAAATAATACTTTATAATATTTTTTACAATATTTGCAAGAATCATAAGTTATAAATTTCATTTTTTTCTTATTGCAAAATTATTCGGTTACAAAAACGAGTAAAGAAATTAATATTTTTCTATAGTACCCTGAATACTGTATAGATCTTCATGCTAATTATTAATTGCGAGAAAAGTGTGCGATTAATAGTTTTAATTAGAATAACTAATATTTTTTTATATAAATATTTCTATTGTTTGTTATTATCGAAATAGGATTCCTTTTAAGAAGTCATAAGATGTGTTTATCACACCCCAACTAATAAACGACCTCATGTAATTCAAGTGTACACCTTTATAAAATGCCATTATATTTCTGTTTCTTGTAATATATATTTCACGAGTGACAGTCAGAAACTTCTCAAAATTACCGCCTATTTTCGACTGCATATGAATTTTTACTACATTCATCGGATAAAATACAGTACTTGTGAAGCCACCTATTAAAGCACCATTAATGAAACTCGTTAATAACGAATCATGTTCGCCCATTAACCGTTTCGATTGTTCTCTTAAAACAAAGAACATGAGATTAGAGCTACCATTCCTACATACAATTGGAACTAAACCACGATAACATTCCGATATACCATAATTTTTTAATAAATATTTAAATGCATGAGAAGTGTTCTTCAATTTACCATGATACCGCCAATCTTGCAACAATGTTTGTACTCTTTCAAGCGGTGTAAGTATAGCCTCAGCAGTGCCAGCAAAATGAGCTGCTAATACTCTAACTAATATATCATTGTTCGTTAACATGTACAAACGATCTTTGCATCCTTCATACATACTGAACATTATACTAAGCGACAATGTTTTTTGGCAAAGGGGTGGTAAAATTCCACGATACAATAACCGTACACCTTCTTTAGATATTTGTTGCAACGCAGTATTAGCTGGTACTCCTTCCAAAATCTATATAATAATTGCAAAGAATTGATCATTTCAATACGTGCATATAAATGTATCGCATAAGGTATAATATAATAGTTGTTTTTACATACCTGTCTAAATATAATTTTGTTAATAGGAAAGGTAACAGAGACGTTAATGACAGCAGCCCCCCAACCACAAACAAATTCTTTAAAATCATTTTTCTTAAGCGCTAACAATGATCCTATTGAAACGTTTTGTGAAGTAACGTTACTCATATTAATATTTTATAGAATAATTTATTTATAGACTACTACAATTTAGAACAGCCAATCATATATGTTTATCTTCTTTATGTATCATCATTCTTTCCAAATTGTTAGGATCGAATAATTCATTTACCTGTAACAATTAAAATAATATGATGGATTACATTTGTTACAAATTGCATAGATATGTACGCCAAATGATAATCATTTAAAGACGAAAATTATAATTAAATAAGTAAATTATGCAAAAAAAAACAATTAATTATGTTTAGTATGTTAATAATAAAATATATTTATTCGTATACATTATTCATAAGCATTTTTAAGATAACTACAAATTGTTGCATATGCGTAACAGTTAGGGAATAAATGAAGCTCGATATATAAAACATGTTATCACTGGTTGCATTATGTAAGTTTCGTATAATAAATTCGGAACAGACGTAAAGATATTACAATTTTACAAGCATTCAACTCACATCTTGTGCAATTTATTATTCAACCCATATTCTCCGTTTACATGCGTGCATGGTATATTCAATATGTCGTATGCCACAATTCACCAAACTTCCACATTTCTTCGCCGAATATTGGAATAAGCGGTTCCAATTACTCACATTTCGTTGTAACGTCAAGATTTTAAAGCACTTTCTGCAAGGCCAGGTGACAAAGGTGTCCAATTAGAATGATAATATGTGTAAACCAATCAAACCTCGTGCTACTTTCAAAAAGAACAAATCAACCGATTTTCTGTATTTTCAGTTATTGTTAGAAAAGAACTATGATCTAACGTATATTTGCGATGTAGCGTGGCATTTTTGATTACTATTTAGACTCGAAAATATAGACGATAAAATAATACGAATTGACTCGTTCGTTATTTTTGATACATCAGAATATAAATTATCTAAGACGCAAAAGAAATATGATACATTGATATCGAGAAGAAAAATATATGCAATCGAATTTATCTTGCAATATCGATTGATTTTATTATTTAAATTCTATCAATGCAAGATAAAAGCAATAATAGAGAATAATAACGGCGATTAGTAACGATCAAACAGCAGTAGGTAAAAGATAGTTATCTAATTCTAATTAGTCGTGAAACACTCACCGCGTCTTATCACACCGGCGCCGGAAATCTCAGGTTTCCATTGAAACAAGATTTCTTTACAAACGCATTGAAACCAGCGGCTACTGCTGCATTATTAATTACAGGTGCAATAATGACTATTGTTGAACATTAGTCGTTTAATTCAATACCAAAATAATACAAACACTTCAGCTTTCTCATTAGTTCTGACCAATTAAACAATAATAAATATTCGTAAACATGAAAAACGTTTTATTAAAAACGAAAAGGAATTAAAACAGGCCTACATTTCAGGTTCATTCTTTTTTTCTAATTTTTGTTATTTCCAAAACTTCATATAACAAATAGTCGACACCATTCAACTTCTTAAAGCCTAGCTTTCATTAAGCAAAAAATTTTAGAAAATGTTTAAAATTGAAGAAGTATAACAAAAACTAATAGAGGGAAAAATAACAAATGCTTGTACAAGTATTATTTGTTTGACAATTAGCATACAATACAAGATACAATAGTATTTTTTATGATATACTAATCTACATCTTTTCCGCGATATAATATAAAGTGTCTGTAGAATCAGTCAATAAGTTGTAATTTAATATTACTAAGAATTTTAATATTCATTAACAGCTAACATAGTTATTAAAAAATGCATTACATTTGATTTCTAGAATTTAGTCTCATCCTATTTCTATCTCCAAAATTTCGGTTCATTGGTTTCTCTCGATCTTGTCGGAACCCGTCTCTATTTTGTAAATACTTTTGATCACTAACGACAGGCTTCAATAAGTGTTCTTCTAAAGTTGTCTGTAAAAAAGATTAGAAAATAACATATTAATCAAATGGTTTAGTTATCAATTTTTAAATAATTTTTAAAATAACTTACATGAGTTGTGAGAGCGTCGTGTTTTTTAATATTTTCTATTAAATCTAACAATTCTGACCAATCACCACTTTCGGTTTTTAAATTTTCTTCAAGTTGATAAATCTAATATATGAAAAAAAAAAGAATATTATTCAGGTTTTTCAAAATTAAATTCTTATTCAATACTTCCATTCTTCATATTTGAACTTTGTTTAATACATTGAAACTCAATTATAATTATAAGAAAAGTTAAAATAGCACCTCAATGTATGTTTCAATAATATCAAGAGGTGGAAGTAGAAAACATTAATTTACAAATGAAAAGAAAAAAATGTGTTATTATACAGAATAAGCATTAAGTAATTTTACATACCACGTCAGCAAAATACGTTTGTTTCTGCATAGAATCATCAACATCCAATGTACTTTTCAAGAGTGGAATTATATATATATATTTCTGCCACTGTGAATATGCTAAGATTTTTAGACATCTGATAGTGATATACTGTTGTCTGTGAAGACTACTCAATAATTCCAATGCCATTTGAGGTTGATTTTGACGTATTGCTAAAGCTGCCAATATTTCTAGGCTTCTAGCAAAAAACAAACATCTTTCCTGCTGTTGCTCCCAACATTTTACGGCGAAATTGAATGATTCTGGATTATTCTAGTAAAGTAATCACATATAAACATAATTAAGATGTTAATTTATGGAGATGGAATTACTTAAGCTAGCATTTCTCAAAATTGTGATCCCCGGACCTCTGAAAACCTATAAAAATGTTAATGGATGTAAGATACATAATATAGCAGAAATAAATAAATTTAAATTAAAAACTGAAATATATATTTGGAAATTAGTAATTTAATTTTGCTATACCATAAGTTTTCTTTCGTCAAAGGGGTCCGTGGAAGTTTTGAGAAGTACATATATATAGGTAATAAACTTCGTACCTGTTTATAACACGCAGCCATCACTACAAGTGTACAGAAGCGTACAAGAGACGACCGTTTTTCACTACTCATCAAGTATTCGTACAATGCTACAATTTCATCGAACTTATCGTGTTTATATAACAAAGAGAATAAGATTTGAACCGATGTTTTCTGTTGGAAAAACTCATCTAACAAAGGATTCTGAAATAGAGACAACGCAGCCTCTGGTTTGTTTAAATAATAAAACATTCTCATTACTACTGGCCCAAAAACATATGAACCAAATTTCTGATCTTTAATACAATTGACATATTTCTCTATTAGTTGGGTTACTAATTTTATATCGTCGTCATTGTTTTGTGCTAAATGTAGCATAGCTTTCACGTCTTCTACGAAAACCACACCGTCTTCTGCTTTACAAACCTCTAACATTTTAGAGCGAAAAGTTTCTTCTATCGTTACAAATTGATTACGGAAAGTAAATCTTGTGTTTTCGTATGTAGGTACACCTAAATACTTCTCCGAATACATAAATCGGACTCCTATTAAAAGAAACGATTAATTATGTTATGTTGTAGTGAAATTAAAGAATTTTCTTCCATAATATCATGATTTTCTATTTCATCAATTCAATGTTTAACTTTAACTTACAGGTTAGGAAGATTACGTACCATTGGTAAGAGGAGTTTTGCAGAATATATTATGTGTCAGACCTAAATTTAATCTACAAAGTCCTCTGATGTTGATTGCCATGATTTTACGAGTAAATGAATGTTATATTCTGTATAAATTATCCTTGAACAATTGTAATAATGAAACAACGAGCCGCTCGTTCCTCCAATGCCTTTAGAAAAGAACGAACCCCTCGTTTCGACGGAAACGGTAGGATTGAACCAAACCACGTGATTTCCGATTTTCCATAGAACAGTACTTAGAATATAGTACTTTGAGTATATAGTTATATAGATAAAATTATATAGTAGCCCAATACTATTGAATTTATTCATATAAAATTTCAACTGAAATTCATAAGTTATTCAAGAATTTTCATGAAAATGCATTTGAAACGCTTTACAGTAAACTGTCGGTATAACAGTATAGACGTGGTTGTAGAACGGGAAAAATCTCGGGAATGGTTTTCCGAGTCGACTTAGTGGACATGTGCATCGCTGCACACAGGTCACTGCACACAGAAAAGTTTTTTTTTTTTTTAATTTTTTATATATGAGTTTAACGTTGCAACAACTACTTGGTTATTAGCGACGCCTTGAGGTGCAGTACTTTACAGTTTTATGAAATTCACTAAATCGTGATTTTTCTTGTTATCTAAGTTGTCTATGGTGAGAGGTTCCAGTGTATATTTCAACACAATTACAATGAAGTTACCAAAATTATAAACTTTGATGACCTAATAAATAATTTTGAAGAAAGACGAAACAGAAAAATCAAAATATTACATTAACGAGAAATTACTATTTACTGTACTATAAAAAATGATACACTCATTCTGTATTTCTACTTTTTTTCATTTTGTAAGTTTATGTATACCACTATTACTGTTATGTTTCAGAAACATTACAATATTTTTTATTGAACAAGCTTCATGTACTAATCTACCATTAACGCCACTTGTTTACTGCTTTTTGAACAAGTCCTCGCATATCTTTGTGCACTGGGTCTCGCAAATTATGTAGCCAGTACTGATTGTTTGTATGGATTCATTTTCATATCCATATTCGTTGAGCTCGCGTTACCAAGGAAACATACCAACAATCTTATTGATGAAAATTCGTGACTAAAGTAACGCCGATCAATTTCACTTCTGAACGCGTGATTCTTTCATAAATAACGTAATAATTTGTACGATTAAAACGATTTTATTCTTCCTAGATACTTACATATTCATTTCAGTTATCGAATTTTACAAAAATTTCTTGCATAGTGTATGTTAATAAAACTAACAAGTTTAGGTTATAAGTGTTATAACTCTTTTATGTGTACAGTAATTAATGTTAATTTGACGCATATACGAATACTACAATGCCATTGCTGTTACAGGAATCATATATTGAAGTTTTAAAAAATTCAGTTTATTTGCACTGAGCAATTATTAAAGACTAAAATTTGCATGCTTTACTGAAAACATTGTTATTATATATAAAAGTGTTGAAAATGACAATTAACATAAGTTCCATAGCATTCTCAGGAATTAGGTATGACTTGAATCAACCTATGGAGAATATTACATAAAGATTTGTGGTTGTATGCTTCTAAGATATAGATTAAAATAATTTTCAGTAATGAGGTTCATATTATGTTAGGTGAATAAGTCATTAAACAAAATTGTCGCAATTGAGGGAAGAAAATACTCTATCTATCAACAATCAATTGTAATCACATGTTTATTTAAAATAAAGGAATCGGATATACAGGGTGTCCCAAAAGTTGGGGAGGAGCCGGAAATGGGGGGTAGCTGAGACAATTCTGAACAACAATTTCCTTTGCAAAAATGTCGGATGGGGCTTCGTTAAGGAGATATTAAGAGAAAACCCCGACCAATCAGAGCGCGCGTAGACCGTTGGAGCGGCCGCTGTAGCGAAGGCTACGTGCTAGGCGGCCGCGTCAATGTCCTTCGATGCACGTCGAGTCACTTGTTCGCGTACAAGCGCGGCCGCCAGTGTGTAGCCTTCGCTACCGCGGCCGCTCGAACGGTCTACGCGCGCTCTGATTGGTCGGGGTTTTCGGTTAATATCTCCTTAACGAAGCCCCATCCGACATTTTTGCAAAGGAAATTGTTGTTCAGAATTGTCTCAGCTACCCCCCATTTCCGGCTCCTCCCCAACTTTTGGGACACCCTGTATTGCACATCATTAATGTATTATTAAAAAAGAATATCCTAAAGCCCCTTTCGAAAAACCATTTATTTTATTAAATCTTTATTTATTTCTACTACATTATAGTATATATGTTTATTTTTTAATTACAATTTTCCAAATTGTACACTGATCACGGTTTTTAATATTTGCTAATATCTACTTTCTAATCTTGAAAATATTTATTTTATCAATTACTTGTATTTGATAAATACTATAAATCTAAAGTGAATTTTACTAAACGAAATATACAATAAGTTAATAGATATACTTTTTCCGAGTTCGTGATATTTAGTACGTAATTTTTTAAAACTAATATTAATTAATTTTGTAATTTCAGGAATGAAATATTTTACATACTCAAAGGGACATGAGTTATTCGTCTATATAAACTCATAATGATTTTGAGCAAACAACATTTTTGAATGGTAGAATCATATATTACTAAAGAAAATTGTGCAATATATCATATACATTACAGATTGCAACTGGACTACCATTATCAATAAATACTTGTGATGAAAAGCTGTAACACTACTAAGGTGTTTATTAAACAATGTATGTACTTGTAGAATATTTTATACAAGAACTATTTAATGAAAAATAAGAAATCATGCAATTCACTGATTAAATAACAAAGTATGCCTATTTAATTAATCGCACAGTCGTAAAGTCCCATTGTATATCGTCAAATTCTTCTAAACCATGTGGTGCAAGTGACTTAATCCACACAACTATCTGAATTGCAAAAATTGAAATGGCTATTGAAAGGTTAATAACATAAGTTGCTTTTGAAAAGTACTAAACAGATTAAAGAGCAGAGCAATATGAATACAAAAAATACGTATTTATAAATAATTCAATAATTTTTATATTTCTTATTGTGTTAATTTTATTTATTGTCTAGCTTATGTAACTGCTTCTCTTTCCGTTTAGTTTGATATTTATTTGAAAGAACTGCATTGCGCAAAGTAGAATGGAGGAATCTTTTATTAACAGATTCCTTTGGTTTTATCCATCCACTAGGACCCATTATTTCAGCTCTTTTTGCGCCGAGTTTTGCTTCTTCCAATAAAGCCTCAACTGCAAGTCTGAACATAAAATTATTAGTTTTATGTTAATGAAATAAGTAGTCTATATTAACACTATCTATAAGACAAAAAAAATGTCATTAAACCACTATATACAAAAACAGATTTACCTGTTTAAAGTTTCATCATCCATTGTACCACAATTCGAAAGAGTTTTACAATTTTTATACTTGTACCGTCAATTTTTTCATTATATTAAATAATGAAAATTTCCTTCATTAAATAAAACTTTTCCTAAAGGCAAATGATAAATATGATTATTTGCTGAGAATCATTTTTTTATAACTTTGATGATGTTAAGGTTATAAGGAAATCTATATATATTATGCAGACTACTAGTACCTACACGAGGTTACAATTATATTTAGATTTTGTTAGGTTTTCAGAAATTCGCTAACATCTAAGCAATAAATGTCAGTCAAAGATATTTGAGGTTAACCCGACGGTAAAAAGTAACTATCAACTAAGTTACCGTTACGTGCATCTGCACTTGCATTCTTATTTGTGTGAGTCATTATTTGCATAGTTCTCAATCAAATATAAACATTTTACATTCTATTAAATATTTTTAAAATATTATTTTCTATTTCACACATTGTACATATGATACAACCTTTAGTATGTTGATAGATAATTATAATAATTTAAGTATGTATATATTTATATACATAGATACATATCTACATTCTTCAAAATGGAAACTAAATTACATCTGTTGATTATTTGTTAAATTTATGAATGAAAATACTTGTACTTTATATGTACATACATATTTCTTTTCTATTAACATATAAAATATTCCAACAACTTGCAGAGTTGCCTACATACTCTATATCAGACTAGAAATGGATGATCAAGAATTAATTGCATTACAAAATTTAAAAGCAAAATTACTTAAAGAAGCAAATGATTTAACAGAAGAATTAAGAAAGCAAGAGACAGATGATGAGCAATTTGTTGCTTTGAAGATGTATTATACTCGTTTTTTATTTATGTTTACTTAATTTATTATCATATAATTGTAAATACAGTAGAAATATTATATTTCCATTGTTATAGAAGACCAAGTTCTAAAAAAAGTACCTTGCATGACTTGGGGACAAATTTATTAGATCAGAATAAACAACTATTGTGTGAAATTACCTCTAAGATTAGTGGGATAACGTTTGAAGATATAGAAAAAAAATGGCTACGCAAAAACATTTATCAGTATACAACTCATTTAGTAACTACAACTGTTCAATTTCTTCTCCAGTTGATAGTAAAATTAGAGGTATCTATAAATGGTAAAGTAAAATTAAATATATATATATGGTAAAAATATATTGTATGTTATTCTTTTACCTTATTCTAGAAAGAAAAAGAATTTGAAATTCATGACATTGTATGTCATCCTATAAATGTAAATAAGTGTTATATGTTGGAGATTCAGCCATGGATGGAAAACATCAGTAGAATGAACAATTTTTCACTTCTTACATCTGGTATCTTATAATTTCTATAATTTATTTACATAGTAAATATAAGGTGTCTCATAGAATGTCTTTTCTTCAGCAATTTCACAATATAATCAGGAAATTATAGTACGAAAAAAGATACTAAGTGATTTGCAAGTGAAGCGATATGTGAATTGTAAAGATTGTACGAAGAAAAAGGGTGGAATTTCAGTCTCCATACATTCACCTAAGAATGTGGAACAAATTTATTTGAACTTACAGTGGTCATTGTTATTTGTAGAACGTACTTTGCAAATTCAACATTTTTTTTTTATAGTTCCTCTCGAAACAGGTAACAAATGTAATATTATCAACAATTTATGTGCAATAGTACATTTCTATCGTTTTTAGGAGCCGCGTTTGCAAAGGAAAACATGGATTTATTAAACAATGTTCATGAAGTAAGTCTTAAGAAAGAAGATATTACACGATTTTGGAAAGAATTGATTGATGCTATCAATGAGTATGAAAAGAAAAGAAAGTAACTGAAGATATGATGTTACTATGAAGCGATGAATGGCATATGTTATGTGAATTAAAAAAATGTAAAGTTGCCTCGATGTTACCAGTATTGTTAAAATTCAATTACGTAGAAATGATTCTCAATATGTAATAACATAGATGGTACTCATTGGGATGTGAAATATTAATAAATTTTTACTTTTGTATATATCCACTCTCTTCTATTTTTATTATACGTATATCAACGCAATTTGAAAATATACAAAAACATATTTATATTTTGCGTAATACTGACAAAAGTATTGTTTGTTTAAAATCACGTATTTTCAATATTCAAAAACAAATAATTTGCAATATCGCAGGTTATGTTTAGAAGTACAAAATTAAAAAGAATCATATGTTAATCTTATACTACTTCTTTTGAAGATATAACGAAATAAATTTTAATTTAAATAAATTATGTTCATACCTAGTCCAATATACATGAATAAGAAACAGGAAAGTACAAATCCCCAGTGGCGCAATCGGTTAGCGCACGGTACTTATAAGACAGTATATCTGTGAGCAATGCCGGGGTTGTGAGTTCGAGCCTCACCTGGGGAATATTTTTTTTATTTTTTTTTTTACAAATATTTTAATGGTCTCTCGTTCGATAACATTCAAAGTATATAATAATAGAGTGTATAAGATTAAATTACTGAAACATAATACATTCACTTTAAGAACTAGCTTAAACTTTAAAAATGATATTAAATTTTATATAAAGTTGATGTATTTCTTTCTAAAACAATTTTATTTGTATATATACATTATTTATAAGCTAAATATGAAATAAAGAGAAGGAGAATGTTAAGCTACAGACTCTGCCTGTGAAGTACTATCTACATCAGCTTGTTTAGCGGCTCTCCGATTTCTCCATGCAGTCATATATGTCCTTGGATGTATCGGGAGGAAACCAGAGAGTCCTAAGATTTCGGCAACTGGTTTTGAAAAATGTACACGTTGTCCAATCCAATATTGTATACGTTCTAAATTCAGAGCAACTAATTTTTCATTGAATTTGTTTGGTAAAGGATCGTAACTGCCCAATTGCTCTATCGGAGGTTTACGTTGCTCATAGCGAGTCTAAATGAGAATCATTTAATTTCACTATTGCACATGTATTATTTTAATAAAGCTATTATAGGTATTTTGTTATAGTAATACTAATATCAATATTACTAATTCCAGTTACGAAAATTAATATGAAATATTTGATGTTTTTTATCAATTATAAAGTGATACATGAAGAATGAATTCGTTAAATTGGATAGAATGAATGGATGAATTAAAAAATAAATAATCAATTCCATTTTACGTATAACTTTTCTCTAAGTATTTGGAGAATAAAAACTTACATGCATTACAACAATATGGTAGAACGGTCTGTTTGAGCATCCATAACGAACAAATCGAATCGATTTTGACAGTGATTTTACAATACCGGTTCCAGATGATGGATGTAATGGCAATCGTGGCATTTTTCCGAAAATCTTTAAACTATTCTATGGAATAATCTTTTTACTTATAGATCGAGGTTATGTTTTGCTCAAACGTTTTGTAAAGCTCCTTCTATATCCGCCACCAGATGGCAATTTAAGAAGCATTTTTATAGTGATCTTGTTGGTAGTGATCGGAATAAGCTTGTATTCAGTGGACACAATTGATCACTGATTCAATTACTAGAAATAACTAGGCTTTACTAGTGAGCGAGCCCAGAGATGGGCAAAACCCTAGGCTTCGAAACAATCTGAAGTTTGCCGATATGTTTGTATAGTTTCCTTTTTTGAAAATTTCGGTAGTAATCGATTATTTTTGTATCAGTTTTGTAATTAATTAACGAGGTAATTATGATAAAAATAATCATTAATCGATTGTCATTGAAATTTTTTAACGATTACGTATTTGAAGGCAGGAAACGTGTAATTTCTTCATTAAATGTACAGATTTTAATACCTCCTATTTTGATCAGTAACGTTTAATATAAAAAAAAAAGTTATTTATAAATCGGACAATTCATGTGTTACAACCTCACACTGGTATAAACGCGTGCTGTTTTACCGGCTCGCTTGTTCGCTGGCTCGAGCGTCCTGGGTTACGCCTATGCTCTAAGCGCGGGCTCCTCGGGCGCTGTGATTGGTCGGTGTTTGTTCGTTAATAATTCAAAAACTATGACCCATCCGACATTTTTTCAAAGGAAATTGTTTGAAGGGTGCCACGTGTCCTTGATCCAGCACTGACGCGGTCCACCCACGATGGCCGCTTTCAGTGTTCTGCCGTGCGAATGTCTCCTCGGCTCGGCTCCGACTTCAGCCAGTTCAGCCCAGTTCAGTCAGTTCAGGCACTTCCACTAGTTCCACTACTTTCAGGCACTTCGGCTCGGGTAGCCGTGGCCGTAGCCGTAGCCGTAGCCATAGCAGAGTAGTACTCGTTGTCAGTTTGACGCGCACTGGCGTGCTGTGTGTCTTGATGCATACGATGCTCCGAATTCACTCGTTGTATCAACGTTCCCTCGCACAGTAAAGCTAAAGGGATCAACGGAACCTAATGAATGTACAACACAACAGATAATTTCAAGCTCGACAGTGTTTCTATTCGTTGATATCGGCGTGTACGACGATCCATTTGTGAAAAACAAGTGAACATCGTGAGAATAACAGGATTCGCGAAACCGTCTCGCATCGCGTTTATTGGTTAACGGAGTTGCTCTTTCAAGTTTTCGCGGGATGCACGAGATCCAGCCTTTTTCTTTCGTCGTTATTTAGTTGCCGGAACTTGGAAACGTTTTAACCTCGATACGGGCCGAACAAACGAGCCGTTTTCGTAAACGATCGCGGACAGTTACACGGACGAGGAATCATGGGCGATGCTCCGAAAGTGGAATTCGCTCTTGGCAGCGAGGTGTCACTGGAACATTTCTTCAAAAGCAGCTTCGCACGGTCCTTTGCGACCACTTGCCGTGACGCCAAGTCCCTGGATTACGAGATAGTCGATAACATCATCGCCGAGGAGACGGACTCTAACGTTAACGTCGATAACAACAATTTCTTCTCCCTCGTGAATGTTGGAACTGCGACAACATCCACGGGAAATCGAGTTTATACCAAGGACAACGCTAACCTTTGGAAAACGAACCAGGTAAATATCAGATTTATTTCTTTAGTCGATACGACAGTTAAGGGGCGAAAGTTAATTTTTTACACCTCGGTGTAAAATCTACATATATGGAGGTAACATGTTATTTTGGGTCAGGAAATAGATTTTTTTCTATACTCTTGTTGTTTTAGATCGTTGAAATAGTTTTTGCTAAATTATATTAAGATAATATGAAACTTGCCAGTTACAACTAGACTGAGCGGATTATATGCATTTGTGATATAAAATAGTATAACGAACACATGCTAAACATCATCAATAGGCATATGCAGTTATGATGCAGTTATTCGTAAAATATATTCAATATACGTTATGTATATCAAAAAATTAAAAAAAAATGGTAAAAGTCCGAGATGAAGTTTGATACTTGAGCCATTTAAGGGTTAAAAAGATCCAACAACATTGTTGTATGTACGTTTGTCACATGAAGTTGGCAAGAAAAGTAAAAATTGTAAAGTGGCCAAATATTAAAGTTTCGATAGAGTAACGATTACCCGGAATTTAAATAAGCTTGGTATGGTATTTAGCGGGCGCATGCGCGGTAAAATCCTCCCTATTATTAATGCCGCGATTCGGCACCAGTGCGACCAATGTTTTTTCTTTTCCGACTCGTAGACCGACTCTTTTGTTTCGCACGATGGTTCCCGTTTCAATTGTTTCCATGAAACGATTTGAAATCGTGCACCGCCAGGTCAACCTGAAATCGGGACTCGAAATCACGGAAACAATATTACCGCAATAAATACCGAAAGTAAACAGCCCTCTCCATTTACTGGCATATTACCTTACGGGTTGGCGCAGTTCTCAATCTTTTGCAAGCTTATTGCACGGTTTGAAACAGTGGTTCCCATATAATTTATCCTCTCGTACCAAATAACATTCGTACAACTATTTTTTTGATAACTTTATCCCCTCGCGAGATATTGAACTTAACCCCTTTAAGCGAAACACCCTGTGTATACTGTCTTGGAGTAGAATTGTCGAAAGCCACTTTGGAAACGTCCATTTTGTCTTGGGTCCCTAAGTTTAACGCGCCACTTGGCTGGTTGGTTGAACGTTTCCTGGCCGAGTGGCAGTCAGGTCAGTTCAGTTATTTTGACACTTTTGTTTTTCGCCCGTTGTCCAAAAATTCCAACAAACTTCCAAACGTCCGTTTATTATCATCGTTATTTCTCGCCAGGCTTGCGCAATCGTAGACATTTTGTTGACCTGACTCAATCGTAGCAAAAATTGTTTCAGTTTTAACATTCCAACCGTATACAGAGTGTATCAAGTAAATGTGACAAATCGTAACTCTATCACTAGTATTCTTAAAAACATTAAATATTTAATCATTCCAATTTAAAAGAAACACCCTGTATACTTGTATCTGTAATAGGTTTTCCGTTGGTCATCGATTATTCCGATATTAAAGAAACTTATTCCATCATCAAAATCTTCTCGATACTTCTATTGACATATATATCATTTTTTTTCAGGCAGCTTACTCCTCCACGGATGTTAACGAATTGGAAAGACTACGAAAGGTAAGTCCATTATGGTCAATAACCTTTGTCGATTCGATAAAGCGATTAGAATTTCCTGAGAAAATGTTGCGTACGACCATATCCAACCGACGTTCCTTAGATACTTATCGATGTAGCGAGTAACCTTGATATTCAAACACTTTCCATTTTTTAATTTATTCCTTATACCTATAAAGATTATAATTAGTAGACTGCGGATTTTTATGGCTTTATAAGAAATTTAAATGTACAAAAAAATAAACAAAATCCACACAATATCCAAGAATCTAACAAAATATTGAAAGTAAAGTTCATATTATAATATTTGCTGAGTAGAATAAATTTCTGTTTATCTTATCTGATAATCTTTATACCACAAGTGAATCAAATCTCCACTGTAATAACTGTTATTATTACACTGTTAAAGTTATCAACGTTTTGTGTCAATCTATTAGACATGGAGCTTATGTTATCGATTGACGTAAGCGTGATATGTTAAATTACTAAA